ATTTTCTTCTTTCGGTAATTTTTAATGGAATGATAATTCCCTCGAAAAAAAATATAATAAATAATAGAGGAAATGTGATAGCCGATGCCATATAATCTCGAATTTAATTGGATCGAGGGATTTTAGGGTGATTCGATATTTAGCTGATGAGACGAAAAATGGAAAGCCACGAATGTCCCTCGGCGGATGATTGGCGACTTGTGGCTTGCCGGCTGTCGCGTGCCGTGTGTGCACCTGCTTTTTTACTCAGCCTGTTTTATCCTCTACATCAGGAGAATGCAACTCTCCGACTTTTGCCTGTCAGCTGCTGAGAAACTGTTGCTCAGCGCCAGCTGAAGAGGAAAATTATACGAGGGCGGCTACTCAGATATCTGACCACTTCACTTTTATATTCCATTTTTATTTTATATTCTATTCCACTTGCACAGAAAACTCACCGAAATTACCCTGAAAATTCAATTTTATATTAATTTTTACAAATTATTTATTCGTCCTTACGAATAAATTACAATAATTTACAATTATATTGACAATAATATAATACAATTATTTTCATACATAATCATGACAGTTAATAATAATAATGATAAATGCAATTATTGTAATTGACGATTCTGATAATTGAAGGATAATAAATAATGAATGTTTAGTGAAATTAATATTTTTTTTGTGATTTTTTATTCGGAATGAAATGCGAAAGGGGAAAATGAATTACGAAAATTTTCCGTGTGGTTGGAGGCAATTGAGACATGCGTTATCATGAGAATTAAATTTTTCAAGGGTTTTAATTGAAGAGGGGGTTGATTGAAGGAGGGGCCCACGTGACGTGGGGCACCTCGTGCTGAGCTCATCAGCTCCGAGGGAGTGCAGCTGCCTCCTGGAGCACTGGAGTTGTTTCATTCCTCACGCGACCGGCACACGAGTCACATCGCTCTCCTGCCTTCCAATATTTAAAATTATTTTTTATTTATATGTAACCATGTGCGATTACTGAAGGTTTAGAGATAATTGCACGACATCGAGACCCTGAAATCGATTGCTGAACTCTTCGATTGAGTTAAAGTGATTAGTGATAAGGGGAGCGTTAAATAATCATTATTTGATATAATGATGATCGCTGGACGAGTGTCTGTTGCTTTATTCACTCTTTATTTCGTCATCTCAATTATTACGGTAAGATAAGTGATTGATATTGTAGTAATTAGTCATTATTTCATTATGCAAATTTATTCGGAATTTTAGGGTCATCACTGATAAGATTTGAAGATCTAAAAAATCATTGAATCTAGATAACGTGATAAATGATTTTTAACGTGTCAATTTAATATTGTTATTGCAGGAATTTTAATTGGTGATTAATTAGAAAAATATGGAACATATTAAAAAATTGAGACATCAATTACACCAGTAATAATCGATGATTCCAATTTTCAACGATAACTCATTATTCTCATGCTCAATAATAATTAAAAAAAAAATTGAAAAATTGAAATGGAGAGATTAGATTAGATAATGGTAAAAATTGAATGAATCAATTATTCAGCGCGCAAGTAGAAATAATCTAGACGTTAAATAGTGGATGTTTTAAAACGAATCGGTCAATTTTCACAATTTTCAAGTTTGATTGCATTTAATAGCGGTATGAAGCTTTTAATTGCTGTAATCGAAGTGACGTAGTGGCGCCGGGCGTCTCGACGCTTGAGTTTGCCCCCATTAGCCGTGTCGGGTTAATTCGACGTTTGCCAAATAAAAAGATTCGCTTCAACAGTTCACAGTAAACAACTTATCAGGTCACGATGAACTAGACTTATCTGGTTGGACTCATTTCGAAGAATAAACTCACCCCGCCACACCATCAGCTCTTCCATTTTTACCATTAAATAATCCTTTTAACGAGTTATTCTTCCGGTGGTGGATTTAACCCACCGGAACGGATTTTTGAATTTACTTTTTTCTCCTTTTCTCATTGTCCTTGACTCCTCAAAACACCTGCGGCTTTGTGTTCCACCGAATTTACGGAATTCAATTTAATTAACATTCAGCGATTATTATTTATTTAATCCAATTGTTTATTGCAGGAAGCTTTTTTGTTTTTTATCTTTTGTTTGCTCGTTTATCTAATGGGTTTTTAAATCATTCATTTCTGATTATCAGTTTTATTATTATTATTATTATTTAATTTTTTAATTGTCTTCGCAGGGGATTTGTAAATTTTAATAATAATTTTAATCCATTAATTTAAGTGAGAGTAATTAAATAATTTTATTATGGATAACGAATCAGTCGTTATCCATAATAAAATTATTTAATCTTCTAAATCTAGCTTCTGTCATTTCGGAATTTAAATCTAATTGAAAGGCATCGCCTGTAATTATAATTGAAACTTTGATAATTGATAATTAATGTTGAATTTCATAAACATTTCTATAAGAAAAAGTTTAAAAATAATTATCTCTCCAATTGTCCGCTTCTCGCGATTTTTGATCGAAATTTTGGATTTTATATTGCGAATTAAATTAAATTAAATTAAATTTTATTGTAAAACAATAAAAAGTCCAATGATAAATGTTCAGGGAAAAATAAATGCATTCGCAAGAAAAAAGTTCGAGAATTGTGAGTCTAGAAAAGTTTTAATTGACCGTACACGCGCAATTGTTAAATATTTTCCTATTATTTAATCCAGGCCAGGTAAAAAATAATTCCCAGGAGGAAAATTATTACGAATGAAAGAGCTTTGTTCTCCGAGATAGAAACAGCTGTCGATAATACTTTATTTCATTGTGAGGGATAATAATAGGATTGAGAGCAGGAGTAACGCCTCCAGTATGAATGACTTCGTGATTTCTCGGAGGAATTGAAGCCCTGCAGGAAATTAAATAAATCTGAAAAAAAAAAATCTCGTGGGATATCGCGTAAAAGCACTTGAAAGGCTGACAATTATTTAATGCGTAATTAAAACGCACTTGTTTCCCCCGAAAATATGGAAAAATGACCGTCAGGTGAGAGAATATAATGATGAGAGTAGGGAAAGAATTGCCGAGGGAAAAAAGAGTCTTAAACTCGTGGGAAGCCATTAGACTTATGTCCATTGTTCTTTGGATGGTAAATGGCATTGTCCCTCACTCGTTTCCCACTTTTTCCTCCTTTTCGATAAAAAAAGTCTTCATTGTTAACCCCTAGGCTCTTTTGACACCGAACTCACCGCGATCTAAATAAAAACGCTCTCTGACTTTCATTAAACCGAAATAAATTAACATTCGTTAAGAATCTAGTTTAGTCTCGGTAAAAAAAAATCGGTGGAAATTACTCTTGCAAGAAATCTTTGGGGTGAGTAATAAAATCCTTTTTAATTAATTGGACAGTAATTATTGATGGAGTAAGAGTCATTTTTGAGATTCTCGTTTATTTCCATGGTTCGAGTAATTATTTCGGAATTATTATGCAAGGAATGGCTGACTTCCGGGGGAGACTATTTACTTGTTGAAATTATTTATGAATATTAAAACCTCTGGCTATTATTGTTGAGGATTTTCGTAGAAATATCTGCGGTTATCATCTGCAATTATCATCTGCAATTATCAAATGCAATTATTAATCCCCGGAGATTCCGAAAATTACGATTTTCATTCTCAAAAATGCGTCATAATTCCTGAAAATTTGAGACGAAAGGAAAAAATGATCGAAAAATATTTCCGTGAAATTCTCTATCAACTTTAAAACTCCCGCGTTAATCCTTTTTTTTCAATTTCAATTAAAACTCGAGTTGCAACACAAACTTCAATTTATTTCCTATACAAACAAATAAATAAATAAATAAACAATTCTCTTCATTAATGAAACAAACCGGTGCACGATTGCTGGTGACAGTCTGAACTCAAGAAAATTGACGGAAAATCGACAAATTTTTCCACAGCCCTCCCTTTTATTTTCCGTTATACACAAAAACCGTTTTTTCATTCATAACGCACGGGGGACGGCTATTTCTCATTTCATTACACGTTCCCCTGTACACTATTTATTTTTTTTTGCGTTAACAATAGCAAAAACCGGATGTGTCACTGTGGCGTGACCCCGTCTCGTTCCTTCCGGAACTGGTGCTCTGTTTGGTGCATTTGATGGTGATAAGGGGATAGGGGGGTTTTAGGGGGCTAAAGGGGGCGGAAGGGGAGGGGGAGAAGGTGGTGGGGAATAGGAACAACAATACACGCCCATAATACACATCCTTGTCACGTCTAGTCACTTTATTTACGATGTCCCAACCCTATTTCCCATCCGGGTGTGTCCTAGGTTTATAGTTCTCGGTTGTCAATGATTAAAGTCAGTTGACTTGTTAAAGGAACTTGTTGACTGCCAAGCTGCCCTTTTTTTTTTAATGAAGAATGAGAGTTCATCTGCATTAACAGCGACTAATGAGAATTTATGGGGTTTTCTCGAGTTATTTTTGCCGTTATTTTAATTTTTTTGGGATTAACCCGATTTTTTGTTGTTTATGATAAATTGAAAATTAGGTTGGGATTTTTGGGATGTCGGGGGATGTAGGGGGATGTAGGGGGATGTGGGGGGATGTGGGGTTCTCTGAAATGAGTTTTGGGGAATTTTAATTAAAGCGTTGGAATTTTTTTATTTTTTATTTAATTAATTGGGCGGCATTGAGGGGTGAGAGAGTAAATTTCAGGAGAATTAATATTTGGAGAGCACTTTATAAATACCGGGTTAAATATTGAGGGAATTCAATTAACGAAATCGATTATTGAAGATGCATATTTGGAAATAGAAAAAATGGCGTCTTTTGGAGAAAATTTCGAGTGCCAGATTTGGAGTAATTGAATAGAAATTTAATCTTTATCTTTATTAACTTTTCGTTGAGAATTGGAGTAGATGTGCCAGGAATTTGAGTGTCAGATTTTCTTAACTCTATATCTGTAAATTTAAACTGAACATTGAAAATTTTATACTCCGAGCTTTCATGCAGAGCGAAGCAAGAGGGATGAGAAGAAAAAAACTATAAAAATTCTCCATCTTCCATAAATCTGAGATATTGCGGTACAATTGAAGTTGCTAACATCATCATAAACCGAGTTCACATCTGCTTCCCTCCAGAATTTTTGACCCGCAATAAAATACAAGACATTTTCCGTCATTTAAGAATATTGCAATCTCAATCGGTATCTCAATTAATTAAACTGTAATTAAATACATAATTATTCTTGAATATCTCTCTATGGTTGGACGATATTTTTAGTTAGACAACGGACAACAGAATATTTATGAAAAGTTGACAATTATCTGATAAACAATTCAGGGAAAATTTTCAGGTGGATATCCTGCTGGGAAATATTGTCTGGTTGTACATGGGGCATAACATTTGACTCCACACACAGAAATGTGGGCACGCAATTGTGCCAGGGGGTGGAAAGTCTCGAAGGTCGTTTTAATTTAATATTGCATTCCAACACCCTAGGGTAATTCGAGCTGTGCATTTGAGTGTGACGTGAACACCAATTTTGGGATTAAATTTTCGCCCTTTGAAGTTTTGGCACACGAGAATTTTTTTTTAGAAATTCAATATCGTCAAGTCATATTTATCATACCCCTCATCCACTATTTACTAAAAATTCCCCTTAATCCCCAGAAATCCCTAGAATTTTCCAAAATATTTCCGATTCTTCCAACAAAAAAATTAATACTACAGCGCTTAATTAATAATAATACTAATAATAAATAATTTCACTGAAGTTTCTGAAGTTCTAGTTATTGAATTCGAGTAATTTTTATTTCGGGGTAATTCCCAGTATTAGCGCGCGAAAATTGCGGGCAATTTGAAATTTCGAATGAAAATGGACTAGTCTCCTGGAAACGTATGGATTTTTTATGTACTTTTGACTAGTTCAGAAGAGAAAGAATGGAATTCATTGGATTTCTGTTATCCGTCCAATTTTCCTGACGTCAGATGATCTGAATTCTCCTCCACATTGCACTTCAATACTGTAGTATTCTTGGGTAATGAAAATTTCTGGTGGGACTATCTTCGGATATTCAGCAGTGTGAAATATTCAGATTGCCTCGTCGATCTCATTCGTGCATTAAAAATTACAGGAATGTATTATTCAGTGGGCAGATGGGAAAAGAAAAGACGAGGGATTAAATAACTTCTGCCTGCCATAAAAAATTGTGACACGAATGTCTCCAGTGGAATTTCCACGGATTATTTCATTGATTATATCAGCTGTCATTGGATTGATTGGCAGAGAGGTGTGGTGTTAGATAAATTATTTATTTTAATGAACAACACGTATCACCAACTGTTGGTGGAGATGCACCTGAGTTTGGCGACTGCTGGCGCGTGCCTTCGACATCTGCCACTGGAGTCATGTACAGATGGTTCCTTTCATGGGAATCCTCGTTATTTCGTATCAATGACTTCCACTTATTCAGACCACCTTTTCCATCGGTGATATCTTCAGCGTTGGAAAATTCTTTGACAAGATTTTCTCCCTCGAATGTCCAGAATTTCCCTTGAAATATTCCCCTGTGAAAATAATTTGACGAAAAATATGAGATCAAAGAGATCAAATTCTTTAGATCTTCGAAAATAACTGCAACATTCAAGAAGATTCAAGTAATTAGTATTGATTAATAATGTTAATACAATATTTCAGCAACCCAGTGGTAAACTAGGACAAGTACATTTTTTTCGGTGCCAATATTCACCGAATATCTCGGAATTGAAGGAACATATCGATTTTTTAGCATAAAAATTTTATATAGGAAAATATGAGAGCTATAAAAATGGTATCTATCAAAATATCAGTATGACCCTTTACCTCCCAGATATTCGCTAAAAAATGGAGTCATAAAAAATTCACCCATCCCAGTTTACCTTTCCGCAACTAATTGTAAACCTCAACTTTAATTTCAAGAGTTCAGCAAATCGTCACCATTGAAACCCAATTACTGCTCTGAAAATTAAAAAAATCACCAGAGAAGGGGGAGGAAATTATTTCTATAACGGGTGATTTCTTCAACGAACAAAAATAGCTGAAATAAAAATGCAGGTTCAGTAGCCCCGGGCTCGATAATTATACCTGCCGATTTGAGATCCTAAAAAAAAATTCAAGCACTCGTCTCTCTCGCTCCTCTTGAGCTGAACCTGGGAGGCTTGTGGGTGTGGGTGGCAGCTGTTGAGTCGAGGGTGAAGAAAAAGGGGGAGAAAAAAAAAATACAATCCACTTCCCACGGGTTCGCGAAGGATGAAATTTTTTCGACGAGCAAGATTTATGCTATAGTTTTGAAGGGGGTGAGAAATAAAAAATGTACGTTAGTTCCCTCGGGCTGCTTCTGTGCCAAGGATCCTTATCGAGACTGTGGTATAGTTTATGCATGAAGAATACATAAAACAGTTGTACATGTATCCTTTTTCGAAGGATGGAGGCGGAAGGAACTGTGCAAGGTGCCTCCAATGTCAGCTGGCCCACGTCCCTCTCGTACACCTGTTCAACATTATAATGCACCTCTACATTTTTATGGCACCAATAGGAGAAATGGACTACATTTCAATGAATTTGTGCTAAAGTCATTTCGCCGCGTCTCTTTCGTTATTTCATAAACATTCGAAATAATTCACCAGCCAAGTGCTAACAGCTCTTGCCAACTGACCTTATTTTTCCAAAATATCTCCAAAACCAACGCTGACAGCTAAATTTACGTCCCATTCTTTTCTCTAGAGCTCATTGAGATCTAGAAAAAAAGTCTTTACAAAAAATTCATTATTTTAACAGGTAGACTGTAAAAATGCAAAAACATATTCATGAATATTTGATATTTTATGTAGAACATGAATAACGATTTTCAGGAGATATTCACAAATGGTTATTAATTTTTTTTTAGACGTCTGAGGGAAGACCGAGAATCAGACACCACAGAGGCGACTCCAGATGCACGAAATGCGCCCCAGGATGGGGTGTATCAACAGCTTGCACCCCCGAAAAAGACACGGAATGTAGTAAATGTGCGCGTGGAAGTTACAGTCCCCATCACAGTCTCCAGCCTTGTTGGATCTGCTCGAGATGTGGTCCAGGACTCTACGAGGCTCATCCCTGCACCTCGAAAACCGACACAGTCTGCGACTCGTGTCACCGTCACGCCCTGGACAATGCTGATTACCACGGAAAGTGCAAGAGCCACAAGAGTCTATTTCTGGCCCCTGAAGATGCCAAAAGTACTGGCGAGGAGAGCTCTCTAGTTAATGAGGACGACGACGAGCTCAACGACAACCAAGAGAAAGAGCGAGAAATTATTCTTGCTCAGGACATCGAGGCTGACCTCCGTGCAGCCCAAAAGCACTCGATGCAGAGGTTTTAAAATCAATCAATAGATATACCCCAGAAAAAAAAAACTAGTCAAAACGGTGGTTCAACAGCAGTTGTACATATATATTTATTCGATCTGGAAATACAATTTGATATTTCGACTCACGATGGATATCGATGCCCAATCGAATTCACAATAATACTCGTTCACTCTTTCGTATCAATCACCTAAACTAAAAAAAAAGAAAAAAAAAAGTTCTAAAAATCAATGCATTCTGCGCTCAGAAATAAACATGTACAGAATCCTAACTATTTTGCACTCGCAGTATATATATATATTTATATCATCTCCATTTATTTTGAAAATTTTTGTCTCTGTGTACATATTTAGTCGATCACATATACAGTTTTTTGTATATAACCAAAGACATTTTCCCAGCTCATGCGTACGGTTTTATCAATAATTTTAATTGTAATGATTCGTTTTCTTCGTTATGTGGATTTTTTTTTATTGGATTATAATTCATCAGTTTATCAGTTCACCAGTTGCTGTTGCATTAACGAGTGCGAAATAATGCCAGAATTCATCATTTAATGAGATATTGATTATTCTGACTGATGAAAGTCAATCTCTACAATAGTGCCAATTATTGATAAATATTGTATCATCAATTTTCGGTTTAAATTTGTCGATCTCAGAGACGTTAATAAGGGTAAACTAGTGATCAGTTTAGATTAGGATTAAGTGTAATATATATTTTAGTATTTATTCAATTATATAATGTATTTGGTTCGGCGACTCCGATAAGACGCGCGGTCGTACGATTCATTCATCATCAAACGGTTGTTCTATTGTTTCATCCCGTACAATTGTCAAGCAGCCTGATCCAGATGGTTTTACAGAATGATATTGATGATGTATTGTCGTGACAATTGTATGAGCGTTTTGTGTTGAGCCAGTGGAGAAATTAGAGCGAAAGACGAGCCAAAAGCTGAACGCTTATCAATTATTATCAATTTGTTAATCCAACTGCGAGCGTATTCTGATGTGAAAATTTCTAATTGGAGTCTTCAATGGGAAATTGAAAAATCATTGTATCTCGGGAGCTTCCACCATCTCACAAGAAGTTCCAATAATATGGAAATCAACTTTCCATGGGCACTGAACACCCACATGAATTATTCAGCAAAAGTCTTTCCATAATTTTGTCATGAAATTCCAGTAGTTCACCTGGAAGAATGATAAGTGATTTCGATTTTATTCCGGTTCAATTGAGCTATTTGCATTAATTTTATCCATTCAATATGAGAATTAAACAGGAAATATTGCGCTATTAAAATATTATTAATTTTTCACTGAGAAAATACCGGAAAACTGAAGAATTCAATAATTTCGGAATTTTTGTTTTTGATCGAATGGAAATCGATTGGGAGAAGTGATCGATTTGAAGATGGCAATTGAAATTTTCAACAGTTTATTTTCGCTGGTGGTAAATAATGGGAATTTTAAGCGTGTGATGATATCACGAATTTAATGTGAACGGGCAGTCTTATTTCACTTTCAAATTGTACGAGTTTAGTCGGTAAGGGCTAATGTACTTCTTTGTAAACATTACATCATAAACACACAGTTTCGTTCATATTTTATCTCATTTCTAATCCCCTTTGTATTATTATCGGATTATCGGACTGAGTGGTAACGATTATACCCCGTGAGGCCGTTTTATTCGACGCAATATAGTCGACAATTTTATTCATTCACTTGGATTATCGTGGATTTATTCTGGAATCAATGCAACATGGGTACGAGATATTATATTGTTTAATAATATAAATCAATAGTGTCTTACAAACATACATGTACATGGGACTCAACGATAAAAAATAATTCAAATAATTACAGAGATTGTTCGCTCTTTTACAGTTTGGCGATTATAAATTCATTTTCGTTTTTATAATGGAGAAACTGAATTTAAAATTGACAGGGAGGAAAATATAACGCAACATATACAAGAAATTCCAGGGGATTTTTTTTTAGGGGTTGTCTACACGATTTTTATCATTTATCTGTGACAATCGTGCACCTCTCATTCTCGAATTCACGATTCTCCTTTTATATACGAATTCATGATACATATATACTTCTTTATATCTCCTGCGAATATACGATGAGGCATAGTCTAATCATTCGAATATTACTCCCTCTGTGAATTTTTATTTCATAATTTTCCTCTAAGTTCTTTGTACAATAAAGATTTCTCAATGTTTTATTGTAAATAATCATTTGAAAGCTCAAAAGACAAATTCTCTCGAGATATTCTGTAAAACATGGGATGATCGATTCTCATTATCTGAGATTTATAATCTGTTCGTATTTTTATATTCAATTTTTTGGTTATTAAATTTCCTTTGGATACTGAAGAAAGTTGATTATCATATAATGACTTGTTGAGATTCACGTTAACGTCCTGTCCAACCGGTTCTCCACCGGATATTATTCTCGTATCAATAACAATTAAAAATAAAACCAAAACTTCAGTATCCCCTTCTATCCCTCATAATCGAAATGAAAAAAAAAGCCAATTCACTGAATTATTATAATTTACTTTGAAATTCTTTTACAATTCATCAGAATTATATGAATGCACAGAAAAAAGCGTCACAGATTACAGTGAACAAAAAAAAAAGATACACCTTACGACGGATCACGACAGACAGTGACCTGGAGCATTTAACAGTGCAACAAAAAAAAAAATAATAAAAACAAATTCAGAAAAAAAAGCGTAGCGGTTGTCTGACAGCGAGAATAGCTTCTCCATAAATTCACGAATAAACTCACACGTTCTTCTCATTAATAATCTCTCACGTCAACTGCTACGAACAATCAGCGTGACATTTATGTACAATTATGGTACTACCTTTACAATTTAATGAATAACTGCATTGAGATAGTTCAATCATTTCCCTCCAAGAGCCAAAGAAAATCCATAGAAATTAAAAATAGGATAAAAAAAAAATTAACGACTCGTATAATTCTCATTCGATGATTTTTTGCGAGTCACTGATGAACCAGAAAAAAAAGAACAGAAATTCTAGTGACAACGACAAAAGAAAAATCTGGGGCGTAAACCGTCAGACGGGAGAGCAAAAGTTTTCTGCATTTTTGAGCTTCATTAAATAACACTGGACTTACGGTAAATGAATATTAATATTATACAGCTATTATCGTCAGGCCCAGGGAGAAGTAAAAGCCCACGCGTTGATTTCTGACACAGAGGGCAGACACAAGATAACACGCGATAAACTGGAAAAATGAGACATACAGCAAGAAGACAGACCGCAGAGCACCACAGGGAAGACTCAGGAGCAAGTCTACTGATTTCTATTGATTTAAAATAATAGCCATTCCTCAGTGCTTCACGGTGGGAGAATTAACAAATCGAAAGATTAAAAAAAAAACAAAATAGATGGATGAGCGATATTATGAACTGAATCAATACAAAAATGAATAATTAAATTCTGGACTTAATACTGTCCTTCAACGTATTTTCATCCCAATGTGGTACTCTCGCCAAATGTGACAGGTCTTTTGTTCATTTCTTCATCAACAATGTCGTCGTTATCACATCTTGAATTATCTCGAATAATGAGGCTTGGCATGATTAAAGATGCTTTATGCACGTGATGTGCCATCATGAGTATAATCTTGGGATACATGCGGATACATCACCAAGGTAATATCAACAACAGTGTCCTCGTTGTACGTTGAGAACTAGCGGTGAGGTCCCCACGGGGTTTTCGGGGTTGCATAAATTAACAGAACATTGGTGAGCTGATGTTTCTGTGTCCTTGTGAGTACCTCAGGGGCACTTTAAAATTGGTCCACCAGGAGATCGCATACCTCTATTGACATTGACTCTTTGCTCGAGCGCACGGTTAACCGGAACATCTGTAAATTTTTCAATTTTTTCAAAATTTCCTCCGTTTTATCTTATTTTATTATGATAATAAAGTTTTATTATATTGGGTTTAACTCTCCTATCGACCTTTAATTTCCCTATTTTTTTCTTGGAATCGATCCATCTGTTTTAAAGATATTATTTTTCTCTTAAAGAATATGTTCCGTAGTTCTGAATGAATGTCTCGAATTTGGGGAGCGTTTTTCTTGGAATCGACCCTTCTAATTGGATTATCTCGAGAATTCAAAAAAAAGTTTCAAGTGTTTACGATGTGTATTAGTGACACAAATTTAATTCTACTTCAACTCTTCTCCGGGCATTTAATTTTCCATTTTTTTTCTTAAAGTACCTCAATTTCCAATAAATAATTCATTTGCGGTTAAAAATGGCGGGCCCTATGTTTACGATAGAAACATTAAAAATTGTGTATTCATTCACGCAGTCAGGGAAATAATTCCCCTGATGTAGAGGAAAGTAGAGGCGCTAGATTTAACTTGAATTATGAGTGAACCACGAGTAATTCAACGAAAAACCGGCCCTAGATTAGTGCCGAGTGTAACGCATGCTTAACATTCGTGAATTATTCAATTGCATAACGTAGTTAGAGTGTTTGGGTTGGAAACCCTGATAAATATGGGCCTGAGGCTAATTCATTCATGATCCAGTGAAGCTCGTATTATATTATTTCGTGCAATTGCCGAACGCCATGTCCCAGATGATTAAGAAAATAATACCGCTGAACTATTGCCATGACAACTGATAAGCTTTCGATCCCAGGCAGCAGTGCAAAATTCCCTTCTACTCTCGCAATTAAACCGAGAAATGTTCACCCAAAGCTAAATATTTCTCGAGGAAATCCATCTGTCATTAATGAGTATTTACCTGCGCTTGTTTATTCGGCTCGAGACGCAGAAGACACCCGACCTGTTGTGCTCTCATGTGGACAATCCCAGCGCATACGAAATTGTCAGGATTCGGATCGATGCCGTCCAGCAGTTGCATTCCAAAGCCCTGGAGCTTAGTGCGAACCTGCTGGAGATCCATCGGTGTTTGGGCCTTGAAGATTTTCTGCGAACGCTGCTGATTAGCACCACCAAGATTCTTCCATCTTGCGAAGAAAGACTCGCCATTCATTTCCGTGGGCTCGAAGAATTTATTTATCGTCAGTGGCAATTTCATCGTTATCTTCTGTGGCACATTGTTGTACACAAACGATATGAGCATTGCAGGTGTATCGTTGTAGTCATCGACGCACTCAGCATTGATCATCTGCTGTATCTGAGCACCAGCTTCCAGCACAGGATCCACCGGTTTCACCTGCACAGCGAGCTTCATCTGGTCTTCCTCCGACCAGGACAGCTGTACAGCAAAATTATTAAGTGCATACTGCGTTTTGTTGCCATAGAACAGACCAATTCGCCCAAGATTCTGTCGGAATTCTGATTTCACACCGATCTGAATTAAATCATTCTCGAATAGAACTCCATTGTTTTTACAGACAAACTTTTTCGGATTATACGTATTCTGTGCACCATTAGTAGCACCAACTTTGTTGGGCATGTTATAGATATCACCGAGAACATCCAGAAGAACTCCAGTATTGCTAGTAGGCTGCGATGAAGGGGGTGTAGAGAGTCCCAACAAATCCGCCGATGAATTATTAACATTGGCAACAGAAATGGCAGAAGGGGCCTCTGCATGATGATTGGTATTGGGCGCTGGACTCTTGCTCTCTCTGATCTCATTCTCTGGCACTCGCCCTGGTTTTTTCTTTTTCAGAACTGCCAGAATGGAGGACTCTCTCTCAGGGAATGCTGGCATTTCCTCCAAGACAGTTGCTAATACATCCGTCGATGCAATTATACTCAACTGGAGATACTCCGATGCTCTCTGCTGGAGTTCAGCATCGGCACTCCTGAGATTGCTGTCCTGTCTAAAGACATCCTGAATGGGTCCCCTGATCTCGGGGAATAAATTCACAAACTTGATGTAAGTTGACAGTAGAAGAGCTCGTGTCATGGGTGAGCAGAGGTGATACTTGGAATGTAAAAGTTGAAACTGTACAGCTGGTGATGATCTCTGATCCCCGGCGATGAGATTACCAAATTCTCCGAGAATATAACCACCAACTTTGACCATATTCTCGTGACAAGCAGGTGCTTGAAGTGCCTCGAAGACAGTCTTGGCAGCGTATCCCTGAACATCGTCTCGATTTATAACGATCTGAATGACTCTGTACCATACCTCCTCAGACACATAATCACCAGCTATCCTGATGAGATTCAGGATCACGTCGACATACCACGTGTAATCCGTCGCGTATTTCTCAGCCAATATAGCGACCTTGAGGACCATCTCTTCCCTGATGGAGTAATCAGCTGTCTCGAGGTAATTCAGCATCTCCTGGACAATTTCCTCGGCGTTACTCTTGTCGCACATGGCGTAGAGGAGATCAACTGCCTGCTGACGCACCGACACATCTTTCTCCATCTTCATTGAGAGTATCACGACCTCCTGGTGCTTTTTGACAGCCTCGTGAGAGAACTCTGATGTTGCCAGGTGGCACATTGATTCCAGGGCCAAATAGCGGAGATTAGTCTCTCGGTTTGAGAGGAATTGGCCGAGTTGATTGCAAGCTCGCACCAGGAGGTTCGGCTCGCTGTCGTTGTGGATGATGAGGCTGATCGCCTCGAAGAGAACAGCGTTCTTTGCATTCGAGTGCTGGACCTTTTTAGATTTTGGGGGCTCTTGGGCTTTGTTAAGAATCGTCTCTAGGCATTCGTTTAGTCTTCCTCGTACACCTGGATCTTCTGCTGGGGGTGTATAGTTCTGGAGGAGTCGCAGGAGTTTTACAGAGAGCCAGGGTGCTGGAACGAAGTAGTACGTGTAGTCCTGCAGGTCTGTGTAGCTCGATGTGACGATTCTGCTGAGTCGAGAGACAGCTAAACTCACACAACCCTTGTATTCTTCAGGATTTCTCTTCACCAGGGCGTCGATCAACGAAGCTGCTGCTGTCACTACACCCAGATGCTGGTCATTCAGAAGGTGCACGATTCGTGATGTCCATTCACCACCTGGAACAACATCTGGGGCTGTTCGCAGGAGACGCAGCAGGCAGAGGGCTGCACTCTGCTTCACCACATCCATCGTATCTCTGAGATCATTCAAGAAAGTTTAAGGTAAATCGAGGGGCAGGGGATAGAGACGCTGGAGAATTCCATCTGAATTGTGGTTATTTTGTTCAGTGTGAAATTGGACGAGTGAATTATTGACGAAGTGGCACATCTACCAGATTTCATACAAATTGAATTCGTATAGATGAATTGGTGGAGGTAGAATTCAATTTTGAGAGCAATTGTTCATTGTGGCACTTCATCAACAAGTTCAGCAAATCTTCAAATTAATTCTCATGGATTTTACCTAATGTCCAGACGCCTGGATCCCATGAGCAGAAATTGTGAAAATAATGTATAATGTTTTGTTTTCTGAGTGTCTGTTATGCGTTCATTATATCCAAAACTTACCCAGACACTAGGAGTTTTGGTATTTCATTGCCAAATGCCTCGGCCATCTCTTTACTACCAATATTGGCGATACATTGCAATGCCAGATTCACGTGAATTGGATTACGTGAGCTGAGATCATTCTTGATACTCTGGATTATGAGTTTTATGAGATCACTGTTTGTATTCACTAAAACCGATATGAAGAGGTATCCCTGCAAAAAAAAATACCATTTAACCATCGATAAATAATATTTATTAATCGCTCATTCACCCTTTGATACGTACGATTTGCTTTTCCGAATACTTGTTAGAGGATAATAAATTAACTGCCTCCATGTGTCCAAAGTCAATGTCATGGCCGAGAAGGAAAATAAACAGCAGTTTGCAGACATATTTTTTCTTCTGATATCCATCGAGTGTTTTATCACCTTTGAATTTGCTCCTTATATTTGCCAATTCTTTATTTATCCTCTTTATCTCTGCCTCTTTGCTCTTGCCTAGTTAATAATCAATTAATTAATCACAAATCCGCGTTCCAAATGAATCCTATCTTATTGATCGAAAAAAAATCATTGTGCTTCGCATGTGCGGAGCAATCAATTTTTTTTTTTTTAATTTAACGAACGATTAATTCGGCACGAGTAAAATCCGTTCGATATCTTTGGTGTTTAATTATTTTTAGATAGATTCGTGTGATTGAGTACTAATACAGCAATATCGATACAAGATCGACTATTCAAATAACACAAAGAAGGGATGAGTTAGGAATGGCACAGTGCCACTTGGCCTGACCTTTTTAGAGACGACGTATTAAAAATTCATGCAACGACCTTCCTTTGACAACAATACCCCAGCCTCCACAAATCCCCCAATTAGATAAATTCACTCCAACGACTCGACTGTTGTGTGTCTTCCGCAAAAGGGAGAAAATAAATCCCATAAACCGCTCTGTATCGAAAGATAGTGCTCTATCAGTGCTCCGCCCCCTTGCATCACGCACACGTATGAAAAAAAAAAATTAAAAGAGCAGAAATCTCTCATCTCAATGACAATTTATCCCGTGCACAAGTGAGTACGCCTGGAAAACTCATTAGCGATGCCACACATGCATCTGAACTTATGATATCAATTGTCTAGCCAGACAGAATCGTGATGTCCATTGTTGACCACTCGATTGTCATACAATTTATGAACAACCACTCGAGTTAAATTGATGGAACAGATTGTTGCAGGAAAATTCAATAACTCACAATTTCTTATGTCCGAAATGAATACAGCGAGTCCACGCATGCCATCCCCACGTACCGCTGGCATCTTGATTTATTTATCCGGCACAGGACCACCTGGTAATTGTTAAAAACAATTGAACAATCAATGAATAACAATCAAAACGATTACCCAATGTCAAACTCATCGATTGCTCTAAAAAAATTGAGATAAAATTCACTAGGTGAATATTGACACGAGTCCAACAAAATATCATGTGGTAATTGTTAATAACAATAGACACAATAGGAACAATGGAAATAATTGATTAATGACAATCACTATGTACTCCTCTTCGTATTCAATTTCCAGATGGCTCGCAATCGTAAAAAATATGTTGGAGTATAAAATTGATTTGCCAGGAGATAGTCAGTGGGGGATTGGATTGGAGTAATTAATGTAATCAGTATAATCAACGTAATCGATATAATCTCGGTGGCATTGACTGGATTACCAAACAATCTTGGGACGAAATAATTCCACCCACTTTATCAATTCACTCATCAAATGGTCCTACAATACACCATGTAGGTACTGCGTAAGAACTACCAGAGACACCGAATGACACGACCCAATTCACCAAATAAGTTGTAATTAAATAGAAATCAAGGGACATATGTAATTTTTTGACAGGAGTTTGTCTAACAACCGCGCGCGCAACACCCAAAAGTCAAAGATCGAGCGGTGGAGAATGGAAATCTGTTTTTTTTTCCCTGATAAATTAACTCACCGGATTCCATTCCAACCCATGGGTCGAGATAAATCTGATCTTAAATGACAATTATAATGATTGATTAGAGAATTGAGTGGTGTATTCAGTAATGATGACTGTGAAATGTTTAAATGAAAAAAATGAAGACCCGGAGATTTTGCTGTGGGAAAATCCTCCCTGCCAACTACCTCAAAAGCTCTTCTTTTTTTTTTATATTTTTGGATAGTGGGATCAGGAATTTATTGATGGAGTAAATTTTTGTACGTACCGATGGGAAATGTCGTGTTTTTTATCGCCAACTTTAGGGTCGCGTTAATTTTTCACCGGGGGGAGGGAAGGGGAGAGGCGTTAATTAAACGCGAGTCGGTGCCACGAATTTAGTGGCTGTCGCCATTTGCAACCAACTGGCCCCTGCTGGCTCCAACTTTCTTCACGGCTGCAACGTGAAACATATCAACCATTTCGTCGAATCGGTTGCGCATTCTGATGACCTGCGCCTGCGTTTCACCACTGCGCATGTAGCGCGGGAATAATTATTATTTGAATATTTCCAGCCGACACAAAAATTAAACTTCTGATATTTACGCTTCAATTACTTCCCTTCAAATTACATCCATCAACATGTGCGTTACGATATTTTACTGAATCGAATGCCAAAAATAATTATCTCGCAGGGTGAGTATTTTAATATTTTCTGAGAATAATTGTGTTTGCTCGAGATAATTACTCATCAATTTTCTTTTCTGTCTGCTTTTTCATTTGTGAAGAATTCTTAATTACGAGATTAATGTAATTGTACTAATCGAAATGGAGTAAAAAATGAGAATATACATTTATTTATTTATTCTTATCAGGTCGTCTGTTGGATTTTCTCTAACAACATTTCTAATCTATCTTTCATAACAGGCTGGCCCTTTCTCGTCTTTTTTGACAGCTTCTTGTAATTCTCCATTCGTTTTTGTTTATATTTCTGGAGTGCCTCCTCCCTTTCCGCTTTCGCCCTCATGATTTCTTCTTTTCTCTGTTTCTTCTCGTCCAATTTCCTCTGAAATTCAAGTTTCGCTGAGTGGAAGGCATTCCGCTTCTTCTTCGGCTGTCTATTAAAAATAATTATTGATTAACAATCGATTGGTCCTGTTGGTCCAGGAGTTGTGTTACTCACTTCTCTTTATTTTCCTCATGGGGATTGTCTGAGGAAATTAGTGACGGCTTAGATGGAGCATTTTTGTTTTCTCTCTCAAGGTCTTTGTAGAACCCACGTAGCACAGCTTTTTTCCTTCGATCTTCCCACTGCTCCACTGAAATAACAATTCAACAATCGAAGCAAAATAGTATGTAATTATTATGACAAGATCCGTAAGGCTTAACCTAGAGGTTCCGCTCCAACATTTATACATGCCTTTGTATTTGTTGCTGTACTTTTTTAATCTGTAGGTCTTTTTATCGAAGGGCTTTTTTATTCTGGATTCATCTTTTTCAGTTTTGTTTTTGTGGAATCTCGAGGATTTTTCAAGTTTTCCCTCAGGCTTCATGATTGTTGACGAAGAGGATTCACTGAAGTAGAGGCTCTGGAGGTTCTGGGGGTTTGAGTGACCCCAGCGGCATTTTAATACTGCACCCCAAAAGAGCGAGGGCGCCACATGCAATGGGGGTGTCGTCCCGTCAGCCGATTCGGTAACTATACTGAAGTCAGCATAAGGTTTAACATTGATTTTAGGAGTGGGGGACATGGTTACAAGTGGTAACTACGTGGAGTGGGGGCACCCAGAGAAGTAAAAACTTATGGTGTCATCAGTCTACTTCAGTAGCAGTCTCGCTGTCAGAGTGACCAGTCAACTGCACAATTTTCCGCAACTTTTTCAAAAACTCCAACGGATACGACTGAAAACTACATTATCATCTCAAGGGCTTCATTATTTATAGGACCAATATATTTAGTTGACGAATAATTTTATGTTGCAAAAATTACTTTCCTCTCGATAAAACGATTTTTTCTGTCCCTAAAAATTTTATTATCATAGAAAAATGTCATTAATAATATTTTATTATGATAGAAAAATGTTAATGACATTTTATTATGACATTACACTCTTCATCTTGTCTTCAGGCGCAATCCTCACCCATTAAAATTTTTTTTCACTTGTATCGCATCCCTCAATCCTCTGCAAGGTATGCCCGAAAAAACGAGAGTAGAAACCATGAAGCTCAGGGTGAGAGCTAGAGCACATGATGAGTGCTCCAAATTTATAAATACCCCAGTAGAAATTGCGAGAAGTCTCCACGTCTCAATAATACCCGTCTCTGAATTACACCCAAACCCGAGTAATAAATTACCCCAACATTCACCAGTAGTTGTACAAGACATTGGACTGATGTCATCAGCCATTACCCAAAACAAAGTATTTGTCATTCATTGACAAATACTTTGAACTATTGACTGGTGTACTAACCCGAAAAAAAAATATTTCTACTTTACCAATACTTTATAAAAAGTTTTATATATTTTTCGAGACCTAAAACTATTGAATCTCTAAATCTACTCCATTTAAGGGCAAGAATGTCAAAATTTTACGTCATCTACCTGAACTCTTAATATTCTGAACTTGAATTCAATTTCAGACTGACAAAAAATTCCTGACGACCCCATACGCTATCGAATTACTAAAGACAAGTTGTTGTACATGAACAGCAGTTGTCTCTGATTTAATTTCCCTAAAGACCTGCTTAGGAATTCCAAAGTTGTTCTTCTATATTTGGTATCTCCACTCGTGACGCGACGATATTCAATCGAGTCGCGATGACGTCACGTGCAATTCACGTTCTCCCACGTTGAATTTCGTGAAAATACAGCCAAGAGAGAATAGTGATTCAACTGAATCCTGAGGGATTGCCAATGGTGATTCGGGTGTTTTGGTTTTATCGTCATTAATCCATCGTACATGGTGAGATCGATTGATTCATGCATCTGGATCTCAATGTTTCGGCATTGACACACTTCTGCATTTAAAGTCAACCCCAATCAGGTACAGCAGTGACAAGCTGTTAAGGAAAAGGGGCACCAAGAAGTCTGAGATCCTTCGCCTTCTATATCCATCGATGCATCACAATTTTTCAAACTACTAATTGCAAAAATATATGGATAAATTCGCTCATTAATCGTTTAACAAACTACAAAAATTCAGTCGATTGCTTTAGAGGAAGATAATATGGTGTCCTTGACTGAGGGCATCTGTACTATTTATGCTCAAAAATCGTGGTAGCGTCATTCATTGAAGGAGATGATACATAAAAATAGCGGGAGCATCTCATACCCGACGAAAAATCATTCTGCCTCGTCACGTGTTTATTCCGAGAGTAGTTGCCATATTTACAACAGCGAGATGATGATGTATCCAAACTTATAGTTTCATGACTAATTTCGTGATTTTATCTTTCTAGGCGTTACGAATTTGTTCTAGAATAATTCTTGCTCGATGCAAATGGACTTTTGTATAAATAATGCGGGGATGATTGTCGGACTTTGGCAAACGTCGCGGTATTTTTTTTAGACTGTAGTAAACAATCTGTAGAAAATTATTGTGACTTCATTGTGTTGTATTGCGAAACATTATTCTAGACATTGAATTCTGGGAGATGAGTGAAGTCCAGATGGTGTTCACGGGGTCGTTGAAATGTAGGATAAGTCCTTGCGATTCATTAGCGAATGAGTGCTAATCACATGCACAAATGGCATGTTTAAATTGCCCGAAACGACCGGATGGCTGAGTCGCTCTCCGATTTTCTTCGCCCCGAAGAATTGTGAATACAAAATACTAAATACCGCGTCTAATTCGAATGAAACCGAGGATTAGTCATATGTTGAAATACAATGACTTGCGCTGTCTAATGTGATCACCTACGCCTTTTGACATCACTCGTGAAAATATATCGTGAGTCGAAGGGAAAAACTTCGGATTTCTGCGTCCATTTTTGGAGGGATTTCACATCATAATCTGCATTGCACTTCCCTTCCTACTTCATCCTTTTTATAAATAATTATTGATATGAATTTTCTTGACTTGCCGGCAATTACTTCAGAAAAACGTCAAATATTTCCAGATGTCCGTTGATTTCCAAATGAAATGACTGGAAATTCGGTGAATTTTATGGTTAAGGAAAATCACGAATGGGAATAATCTGTTCCTCGAATATAGAAACTCCATGGACTCACTGTGATGCTATCACTGGATTCATCATCCCGATTATTTAATTAATGGTGTAATAATTATTAAAAAATTGTGTGCAAGTTATGAAACAAATAAAATACTATTCAAATGGAGCAGAAGAGAATGAAACGATGCGCGTTGTGTTGTGCATTCCAAAGTGCACCGTAGATTGTCGAGTGTACCCGATGAATGACGGAGAATAGCGAGTGGCACACGAACACCCACGAGCGGCGAGAAGTTCGCGGTGGGGGTATTTAAGGGGTTGCGAGTGGCGTGCGCCGCTCATTCCTCAATCCGACTTCTCAACGTGAACGTCTGTTATCTAAAGAGGACTAGTAAACCGAGTGTGTGTGTGAAAGATCAAGTGTTTCTTTTTAATAATAAATAATGGCTGACAGTGGTACCAAGCGTAACATTCCCATCAAACTCGGTGACTTCAGCGTCATTGACAGCGAATTCTCAAACATACGTGAGCGTTTTGACGCCGAAATGAGAAAAATGGAGGACGAAATGGCTAGGTTCAGGAGCGAACTTATGAATCGGGAGAGCAACAATTTCTTCAAAACAACAACTAGGTAAATTAATAATAATGGTATCAGCCAGTTGTGTGGAATAGTCTGAGTTAAAACCCTGCGATTTCATTTTATTTGAAACTTATCAGGAACGAAGGGATGAATTTACAGGTTTTCCCCGAATTTTCCAGACTAAAAGACATTTCTATAATTATCTTTTTTGTAGATGTCAATTAGTTCTACAAAAAAGGTCTCCACGAGGATTTTTGTAATTTCTTTAGATTGCGGGATATTTCCGGAAAAGAGTAATTTTTTTCTTTCGGTTTAGCGGTTTGATCTAGAGTAATTTCGATTCATATTGATTTGAGATAGAATTGATGCTTGACTGATCGTCCGGGATTAATTCCTGGATAATATTAGGGATAATTAAGCAACTGGATTCAATTGGATGAACGATTCATCATTTGGCAATGCTCGAGATGACTCACAGCCGGAAGTAATTGATGAGCCCTTGGCATGCTCGGGAGTAATTACATATGCATCAAGAAATATTTTTATCTTCTACCAGCGATCGCTGTGCAGCATAATGCATTCCACCGGTGCAATTGCGGCACAAGTGATAACCAAAAGACATTTTTATAGCATTTTAATTGATGATTTTCGAAAAAATTGTTTTAGTTACCGAAGAAATTACAGGAAAATGTCAACCTGGTCATGATACTCATAAAAAATTTGACCATCGTCACAATTTTCAATCCCAAATTCATTGATTTGCACTGAAAATTTATGTTTTTTTAAAGAATTCAAGTAAGGGGAGGCTTATCTTATCTTCTCGTTGTTTGGACATAGAAAATTTCATTGAAGTTCCGTGGAAACTAGAAAATCCGCGATTATTTCCTCTTAAATAGAATTTAATGACACTCTTACGAAAGTGGTTGGTTAACAACACAGGAAATTACAATTTTTTTTATATTCTCGGACCCTTCTGATCTTCGAACTACCATTGGATTATGTATTACCTCTGGATATTTTTAGAGATTCGGTCACACCAGCCGAAAAGTCGTACACCGTTGGGTCGAGGAGAAAAAAAATTGAACGTAAACTGAAACTTAAATGGTTTGGAGTGGAGTTTTAATCGGACTGTGAAGATCTCAGATTATTTTCTCTTCTGTTTTCTCTCTTCAATCCAGACTCCGCATTCATCCTTTCATTGAGAGCACAGCGTGGGTGCAAACTAAACGCAAATGGATTTTTTCGTCTGAATAAAACTCGTTTCACTCGACAATTTCTCTTTTACCCCTCATTTCACAGGTTTCACAAGCCCCCGGCTTTTGAATCGTGGGTTTCCATCGCTTGGGGTTTCCAGGGGTGCCCTTTGCCCCAGAAATTTATCCCTGAATCAATCTAGGACTGGGTACATGGGTCATAAAATTGCACGCAACATGCGATAATTGAATAATTCACTCTTGCTTGAAGAACAACCCCCCAAAAAAATGTCGCAAGTGCAATTAAAAAATTTCTCACTTTGCGTGACTCATCTCTTCTTAAACCAAAGAATTTTTTCTCATGTATTAATAGAACAGAAAACTATATCCGAATTTTTTTCAGAAAGCAAACGTCCCGGCTGCATAAATCCTCCAACACATGCTCTATTTATTTATTTATAGATATCCGTCATCACTCATTTGAATTCTTTTTCACGGAGCCATAAATATTCATGAATTTCTACGTATATGGGAATTCATTGAGCATTACGTCAGTACCTCTACCTCCAAATTATTTTCAATCAACAATGATAGTGTAATCACTCCAGTCGCATCGATGTTGTTCTTAATAGATGTAAAAACTACACGTCAGTTTTTCCCACTCGATTTTTTTTTTCATCTCTCATTACTCGCACCTTTTGCGCAGTCATTTTTGTGATACCAGACAGACTGGATGCTTTTGACGTATCATTCCTCCAGTGATTTTGTTTGGCACTCGCTTTTTTATTTTCATGGACTTCCCTGTGGGCGGAATTATTTAATTCCTTAGTTGTTAATAAAACCCACGTGTTGAGAATATGTCAAGCATTTTTAAATCCGATTGGATGAGGGATAAAGTTGGGAAATTGACACTGGATGAAAATCTCTATCCACCGCGTCACAAAACCGTCATTCGATATGGGTATGTAATTCACAGAATTGCGTAATTTTACGTGGATTATGTAATTGAAGAGGTGTTAGTTCCCCTCCTCCATTTATTCGCAGAATAAAAAATTTTTCAATCACGAATATTCCACGGAATTACACACAATTTTTCTGCAAATCCAAATTATTCAATTAGCGATAAATAGATTATTGATTGTCTATTAATATTTCAGATGAGACTACATACAATTTATTATTGATATATTAATGAATAATTATTCGTTCTTTTTTTATTAAAATTATATCATGGGGAAAATTTTGAATTGATATTTTTGATTGCAGAATGCTTTTCAATTAAATCACATTTTTAATCTTATGATTGAACGTCAGATATTTTCACTCGTTATTTATTCGTGATGTAAAGGTGAAACCTTCGGTGTCATGAGGATTGTTTGAGAAGTGTCCATCAATCACTACCCACGTCAAGACTTCCAAAGTTCTTCAACGTGAAACGGTTTCACGATTCTAGGCGATGAGCCGTACCATCAGGCGATCAGATTTCTTAATAATATCGGGTAACTAATAATAATTAAACTGCTACCCAAGTTTGTTCTCGTTTCCGGGGATTAATCCCTTGAACGTGAGCCACAGCGCGCGTTGAATCGCTCCGAAGAACAGCAACTTCCGGTCTCCAGGGATCGTCGACTTCCTGGGCAGGTGGAAATCTCTTGATTTATTCCGACTCGCGTCTTTCTGTCGTCGAGAATATCTTCCGTCACTTACACTCAATTCCAAACATTTACATTCATCTAAAAAAACAACCGTCGAACAGTTTTCGGTGAAAATCTCGAAATCTGAGGGAGATTTCGCAAATTTTGTTATTATCTTTTTTGTCCAGCTGCTTTCGATCTCGAAAAAAGGTCGTAACGAAAAATTCGTTATCCCTGTTAGCTCCCGAGATATTCGTGGAAAACTCCGTGGATAATGAAATAATTGTTTTTTCTTTCGTTAAAATTCAAAGTATAAATAAATTTTGAGGAGATTTACTCATCCGTCCTCCATCGCCATAATTAAGGGGCGTTTTTAGTTTCATGTCAATGTCAACTGCTGCCAAATAAGTCGGTCTTGCTCATTGGATTACGTCCATTTTCGTTTTAATGATCCCGACCCGTCGACGAAAATTTATTCAGTCCACTTTAATTACCGATTGATTGATTTAAAAATGGGACTATTTTAAAACATCATCCACAACTAACTGATAATCAATTAAAGCAAATTTGGTAGACCCACTGAATTCACCCGCCTGTCGCAAACAGAGGCTGTGGTACAAAGTGAGAGATTAATTTTATTTTTCTTTATTACATTTTTTCCTCCTTTTTTTTGCACTTTTTTGGTGACTAACTGCTATATAATATCATATTATGCTATATACAATACCAGCCGGCATCACACGAGCACCAGTGAACATCGAACCTCGACGACCTCGAGGACTGAGGGTTGGGACAAGGTTGATCCTGCGATGCCATCAAAGCGTTCCGCCTTCGACAAGACTTTCACCAGGTGAAGCACAATGCCTCGATTCAGCAAAGAAAATGTTCCAAAAAATACATCATCAATTTTGTTCCACCAGTTTTTCGCACATCAGCATCTTGCACGCCTCTTCCAGATTAAATAACTGTAGAATTCATTAATTTTTCGCATCCATCGCATCTAATTGCAAAATTATAGATAATTGTATAATTTCAATTAATCTTATTCACGCGAAAAATATATCTTTTACCTCTTCTCTCTTGGAATCATTCGTAACTTCAAGTTCAATGGAAGAATTCTGTTTTGGAATTGATTTCGTTCTGAACCAGGGGAATTAGATTAAGAAAATCCTGAGGTTTTGATGTTTATTTTTTATTTGCGCTAATTTCACTGAAGTTGCACGCTTTCCATTGCTTTTATGACGAGAGGCACTCGTAGATGAGGCTTGTGGATTAAAACTATCTCGACTGTACCTAACAAATGGCATAATAAATTCCCCCCTCTCTCCTGTGATTAAACACTCATTCAATGAAACGTAATTAATAAACGGGACGAGTCCCGTCGAGAGTTAAAGATGTTAGTCATCAGATCTCATCAAGAATAAATTGATGACAAGAAATTTGTTGAACGGCTGCAAATAGCTCCACAAATTTTATTAGATTAGGTTTATCAATTATGTTACGCTCATTAGTGTACTTAGTTATAATTTCACAATTGCTCTTTATGTGTATTAGATCGTTTATTACCCTAGCAATTACTACCGTAGATCACCGAAGCCATCATGGATTTCGATCATCGCACAAAGCATCATCGTTGTTTGGTCATTTAAATGTTGAATTGTACAACAATTTATCGGTTTTAATTGTTCGATTTTTTTCATTTTCAGCACAACGACACACAATACCCAGAACAGTTCATTGAGTCCTCAGCAGGATTCTCGCACTTGGTTGGATGGACTCAACAGTCCTTTGATTCAGGATGAGGGAGACAACAAAACTCTTAAACTACGATTTGACGTATCTCAGTACACACCGGAGGAAATCGTCGTCAAGACTGTGGACAATAAACTATTGGTAATTACTAATTGTTCAGTATCGGTTATTAGTCAGTGCGGGGTAGTCTTGGGTGGTCTTTTCATTTATTCATTTCCTGGGAAATTGTGCATGACTTGACGTGAAAACCGCTATTTTCTCGACCCCAATGATCCATTGCACAATTCCCTGGCAACAGACGTATCTGTTACATTTTCGTTGTGCAATAATATTTCCTATAACTACTTCAGGTCTCCGTTGAATAACAAAACCTCAAAATCGTCACTGAAATTCGTTATCATTTTTAGTTTTATCGGTTGACGAATTCGCTGGATACCTCAGGTTATTTCTGGAGGTCATCACTGGGTCCAGAATTTTTTTGCAAGTTCTGCTTTTAGTCTGTCAATTCGAAATTTCAGGGCTCATTGATTTGTGGGAGAGCATTCAAATCGTCTGAAGTATCTTTAGAAATTGGATTGAAGTGAAATATAATTGAATATGTTGGGGAAAAACTGTTGGGATGCAGAACCCGGCTAATCCCGACAGTTGGGTGCCGGCGACTGAAAATAGTATCACCTAAAAATAATCACCCACTGTGTGCTCTCAACTAACACTCGTCAGTATCCAATTGGTGTAATTCCTGTCATTGTGAAAGTCCGGGGATTTTTTCAAAGTCTAACATTTCATTACGCGTCCCTTTAACTCTATAAATTTACTATATAATTCAGCCCATTACCATGAAAGAATTTTTAATCGCCAAATAAATTTTAATTATCCTAAATTCAATCATTAGAAAGCTACGATTAATCATTGAGGAATTGTTAAAATTGGAAATTTGAATTAGACTTCGAGGAATTTAGAGAAATAAAATTCCCTCGAGCTCTCAAAATCTTGAGACTGATAAATCGACTTCGAGAATAGTCTTTGTTCCTCGAAAAATGTGGGAATTATTTCATGGGCTGATTCGCATGGGCCTTTTGTCTTTTCCTCCTGTCTCCTTTCCAGTGAGATGTTTAGGAAATGGTTAATGGTGTCTCTGGTCACGAAGGGAGAAGGGAAAAAATTCGTTCGCCGTTATGCAAAAGGGGAAACTATCCGGGTCGATGCACTCGACTGTTATTCTCCAGACATTGATGGAGTTTAAAATGTTTCTTCCTTTCTGGACTCGGTCTCGTGATCCAATGGGGACGGAATTAATCCTCTGAATTCATCAGACTCTTCATCCTCGATGCTGAATTGTTCAGTTCAGGGGTTGCAAGGAATTATTTTTATTTAGCTTTTGGGAATTTTTTTTTTATCGATTTTATACACTACCTTAAAGGAATTGTGGAGGATGAATCGTGGTCAAGGCCTGTCTCGTGTTCCCGTCGATGAAACAGACCTTAAAGAAATCATGTCCACCTCAGGGTCAGACTCTACTCTCGGGGTTCTGTCAAGGGCGAGAAAATTTATGACCATGAATACAATTTGCATTATCCACGGATTATAATCACACGCTATTTTTGGATTTTTCGCAATTTAAACTTAAATTATCCAATTATAAAATTATAACTAAAACATTACATGAAATTATCAGAAATTTCACTCTCTTTAATTTACAGTTCTTCTTTCATTATTCAAATGATAGAACTTCAAGGGAATTTTTTTATCTGTGTTGGATAAATAATTTAAAATTATTCAAAACAGCAATTTAGTCACTGGAATTTCCATTTTATGGGGCCATAAGACAGTAGTTCATCGCAATAAGAGATTGCAGCATCGTAAGATGATCTGTGCGTGTTTTATAAAGTCTCTGTGACTTGAATTACCTGGCAGAAGGGAAAAAATACTGTGAGAAAAAATAAAAGCTCTCGAACAAGTGCCAAATAAAAAAGTGATCGAAAAAGGATTTTCTGGGATGGATTAATAATCCGATCAAATCATTGACATCATTCGTGACACAATCAATCTTCCTGTTATCTGATTAATCCATTACGTAACGCAATTAGCGTAGATTCATCGTGTTGATCTTTGGTCGAGGGTGCGGCATTAATAATCCCGCACCTGCAATTTTTTTTTTCAATTTCTCCCCCTCATCACAGCGAGATAATTGCCTTTCAACGCTCATTGCTCATGCACGCATGCATGGAGATGAAAATTCAGTTAAAATTAATAAAACGATAATAAAATGACTATAGCTTAATAAAATAATAATAATACAAATTCATGATTCAAAATTCATATTGAGCCAACGATTATTTTGTTTAAAAAAATATGTAGAAAAATTTTACTGCTCAACATTTTTTATCAGTGTTTTTTCAGACTTGATAAAATGACTCTAGAAGAATATCGTAACTTGACTCAGAAATATTTCATGTTGTCGATAGGAAATTTTCAGAAATTGACGTACGTGACAGTGAAGATAATTTTTCCTGGAACTTTTCAGTAATTCTATTAAATATTGCATTAGTTATTCACTGGAATTATCACTAGATGAGGCATTCCACTATTTTTTAATAATATAAAAGAGAAATTCAATCACGAATTGTTTTTCTGAACGAAAACTCAATTTACAAAAAGAGAAATCTCAATAAAAAAAAATTGTAGATTGGAAAATAAATCCGTCAAATTGTCTCGATTTTATTTGACAATGAGTATGACTTAATTTATCCTCCCCACGTGCCATTCAAGTCATTAAAAAAATAAATCAGTCAGCAATCCACTTTGAAGTGCCGGAAGTGACCTTTACAAACCGTCAAAACGTATCATTTGGAATACCGAGGGGCGGCTGTTGATAGAAGTTACAATGACAAGTAGCAAATAGGTAATTCTCTGGTCAGGGCCATCAAAGTGTCTGCTAAATACAGCGCTGACGATTACCTCACGTGCATATCATTGCGCCTCTCAATTTATCGATACCTCCATGAATATCAACTATCCGAGTCGATGCAAATCGATTCGACAAAAATAATCAACAATTCCCAAGACATTGAGACTAATGAAATAATTATCTGATGGATCAAATGACTTTTTATATCAGATGGATGATGGAAATTGAGTTACTACTTCTTTCTGCTTTATCTCAGGATAAATTCAACCCCAATTCCACCCCATTGCTGGCGTCATGATGTCGTTAACCCACTTCCTGCCAATGTCCTCCACGTTTTATGTTCATTCTCTATTTTCCTTTATTTGTTTGTCTCCCGTTGCCTGGACAGAGGGAATCGAGTTCCTAATCGGTCTAACTTGGAACTCTTACAATCTCAAATTCATACGATCAATATTAATAAAAAAATCCACGACTTCTCAATGGAAAATTAATGAACATCAATGATTTCGATATTCAATACTTTAACTCGTCTTTAGCGTTCATCCGAATATTTTCGTGTTCCTTTTTTTTTCTTGCTGTTTTTATTGGCGATTGTCTCGAGGTGTACATCCACCTGTGCAAACATTTAACTCAACACATGTGAATTATCCTCGATGGCATAAAAAATTAAATATTCTCTCGTTGGGATTTTGAAAGTGTCCGAGAATTCTTGAGTCGTGCGGGTCGATAGTGATGACGCATAGATATTTTCTGCTCAGTTTTATTCATCGAAAATGTTTCCTAGACTACTTAAATGCGAGTGCTTACTGACCTGCTCCAAATTACGAATACGTAGGAGTACGCGCATTTATTATTGTAAGACAGGGAATAAACAGATGGATGAGTCACGCGAATAGATGGAATGACTCGATGGAATTTTTCGGTATTTTTTTATTGGTCGGGAGACTCGGGATTTTTATGTACGTCGGAGGAAAAAAAAAATTTAAGGGTTGGGGTACCATTGGAGGGCTCATTTGGGTCACATCTGATTCACGTGCTGATAAATCCGACGAAACGCATTCTGTCACGCGAGGATTTAACACGGAAACGTCAAACTGGTATTTTATGGTCTCGAACAATTATTTTTATTTCTTTATCCTGGCAAGTGATAATAATGAGGAAGAGGGGAACTTGATGAGTCAAGTGGAATCCGCGGGATGGGCTTTTGGTGGAAGATTTATTTTGTGGGAAAATGCAATTTTATCGTTTTATTGATCATTTATTATTGATTATGTCTTGAGCAGGTTCACGCCAAACATGAGGAGAAAACAGAGAGCAAATCCGTGTACAGGGAGTACAATCGTGAATTCCTGTTGCCAAAGGGAACAAATCCGGAGACAATTAAATCATCACTCAGCAAAGATGGTGTACTGACTGTCGAAGCTCCACTTCCAGCACTGGGATACGGTGAAAAACTCATCCCAATTGCCCACCAATAAATTATGGCGATTTAATTACTCACATTGCCCCACATTAAAATACCCCCTCCTATTTCCAGTCTTCTATTTTCCCAGGTCCAATCTTCCGTACTCATTGCCTCCCAGTTATCCACAAATACTTTTGGAAAATGTATTATCGCCAACAAGAGCCTCGTCGCTGTTGTTTATGGATGTTTGCTATTGCGCTCTTATGTTTTTAATAAACGGAAATTTATAAAAGTTCGAATTGATAATCCACACCGGATTTACAGCAGTTCCAATCGATCTGGATATTTTACAGTTGGACTTGATAAGGTGCATGAATTTTTTTATCTGAATCAATATTTTCTATTTTTCAATACACGAAACCACTGCTTTTGCAAGGTTTATTACTTGAAAGTTTGTAATATGGATAATTCAGTGATAATTATCACGAATTTTCTAGACAATAGCACAAATTGCAATCAGTAATTTTTGATATTCAACGGAATATTGGAAAACTCAAAGTCCAACGGTCTAAAATTCTATTGAAAGTAATACTGGAAAAACTGGCACACAAAATTTATATTTGTAACTTATATTCGCGATTAGCATAGAATGTACTTTCAAAAGACTAAAAACCCACACGATGCCTAGTGTATTTAAGCATTATAATATTATTGATATTATTTATGGATATTGGAACATTTTCAATGCATAATGTTTTAAAATTATTGGTGGAGTCGAGGAGAAATTGAATAAAGGTATAAAATTTGAAAATACTGAGTGAGTTATCTCTCTAATCTTATCAAACTATTCATCAGACCATTTTCAATGTGACGCGAAAGTATTATCTGGGTTGGGAAGAGTGAACGAGAAATTATGTACGTCAGGTGTTATCACAGCTTTTATTGTTTATTACGAAAATATTTCATCTTATATACATGAGTATATCATTATCATGTTTAATCATTCTGTAAAATTCATTAAAAATTAGCACAACGTTGGAAAATTAAAACATACATATAAATTCATATGAAACTTCGATTCCTTTCAACCATATCAACATTACAGGTGATTATTCGAAGATTTGACACCTTTTTTTCATTTTTCAAATGTTAAAAAAGTGATTCTCGAAATTTTTTGGTATTTAAATAATATACTGATTATTGTAGTTGAAAGTAATGCATAAAAAGCACCAAAAGTTTCATAAAATAAAAATCCTCACAAGAGGAAATATAAATAAAGCTGAAATCATGTGAGAAAACTCAATGAAAATTCAATTTCAATTGAATAATATAATAAATCTCTCAACAAAATACCCACAATCACTCATTCACCCTCATTATCATGATTAAATACTCAATTAATTGTTGTGGATTAAAAAAATAAGTCGAATTAATAATGCAAACTCGTTAAAAATATTTTTCAGTTCAATAGAGAATGAACCGTTAGTAGTAATAAAAGTTATTATCGAATAAAAATGTGGTGATCATTATTTGGATGCTAGACGGATCTAAGTGCTCGGTATTTCGGCAGCAAAGAGAGATGAATCAGGTGCACTGAAGGACGGGGATTTTCCCTCCTTGGCAATCCTCAGGGCTTGGAGGACGGCAACAGTGTCCAGCTCCTTTTGATTTGGTTTTTCATTATCGAGACAGATATCAGCAGCTCGTTTGCCAAAAGGCTCGAGGACTTTGACCCTGTAATCGACGATTGTGGAGACTGTATTGCCAGTTAATCTGAGATTCTCCAGGCAGGGGAGAGACCCAATGTACTTGACCTCCTCGATATTCTCGATTCGATTGCAACTGACGTCGAGCCACTCGAGGGAATATAATTTCGAGAAACTTGCTAAGGAGGTCAACTGATTCTGGGAGATGTCCATGTGCACGATATTCCCCAGTTTTGTGTGTAATTTTTCAGGGAGACTGATGAAATTATTAGATGCCAGATGCAGCTGCGAGAGCCTGGGCAGTAGAGTCACATTAGAAATCTCAGACAGAAGATTATTATTCAGAATTAATGACTCTATCTGTGGCATCAGCTTTATGGCCTCATCGATGCATTCTATTCGATTATCGCTGAGATCTACGTGTGTCACTTTTAACCATACGTGAGAATCATTAGCATTCTCTATTCTCTTGTGCACCTCCTCGCACATCACCAGCTCTACGATATTTTTTAATTTCGTGTAATGCACTTCGAGAATTTTTACAGTGTCTCGGAGATTTCCCATGCCGTAGATTTTGTCGACTGGATAACGATTTATCGTGAGGTGCTGGATATTTTTGAATGTCGAGAGCTCGATTGGGAGGAGAGATGGATTTATGTTGCTCGTACCGTAGGGCTCTGTGGTACCTTCGATTGTGAGAATCTTCAAGTGTGAATTTAAATCGAGTACGTGACTAAAATCGAATTTACGATCTACCACTTCCAGGGAGGGACAGGGCTGCTTCAGTCTCTCACTTATTGCGTATAACTGGAAAAATTAAAATTCAACAAGTTATGATAACAGAAAATACCGGACAATTATGCAAAACTCATTATTCATTACTTGAACTGGAGTGAATGTATAACTCTTATTTCCCTGCAACAGAGTCTCCCCTTCAGAGAAAAATTGAAGAGCCATATTTTGGAGGAGGAAGAAAATATCATAAACGTGTAGATCCAGGAATGTCGCCAGATCCCTTGGCATTGTCTTCTTCAAGTAATTGTAAACCGAATTGAGATACATTTCCAGTCCCTGTCTTCTCTTCTCGATAAAAGCCTCACTCTTGTTACCAATAAGTTTCTTCGGTGGAAGAATCTCTTTCTCCACACAATGTTCAGACACCAGAATTTCATGGAGCTCAGCAAATTCGTTGTACCTGTGTTTCAGTGTCCATACAACCTCGTTAATTCTAACCTCCACAACGTAGTATGTTATTCCATCGATTGTCTCGATGGACGGAATTTTAATCTGTATGGACTCTGAATTCAACAATAAACAGGCCATTGCGTGGATTAATTAATATTGTCCTCTTCAACAGGAGAATGTGACAAAGTTCCCGGTCCCTTTAATTATCTCGTCGACATCACAGCTGACGTTTAATTTTTCCACTTGCAGTCATCCTCCACTCGATTCCAATTAATATTTATTTTTAATACCGATTAAGGTTATCTCACAGCCACAAATCTGTTATTAACGGGATACAACATTATTATTGCAAAATTGTTTCAGATCGTTTGACAGAAAATTGATTGCAGTTGTGTGGGTGGAGTGAAGAAAATGAAGTTGAAGTCGAAGAATGGGGACCCTAGGGTCCAGTTATTCACCAGATTGTTGTGAAATTGAGAATTAAGAATAAACAACAATCCTCTGATGAGAATATTGAGGTATAGACGATTGAATTATTGGGGAGGAATTTAATGAATTGTTGGGGGTTGCAATAGAGAGTACGGGGTAATTAAAATCTTTTGCAAAATTTCGTAAAATTACGCGGGTTGTTGTCTGCTGCCATCTTGAGGATAATGAATAGCGATATGCATTTATAATGTTAAAGAGCGAGGAATAACATCGGGATGTGGAAAATGGTCATTCAGTGAGTGATTGACAGGAGTGATGAAACAATTTAAACGATGAGATAAAATTAACATATCTTCCTCTCGGTTTTAATGAATTCCGGGCATTGACACCACTATTTCTTCCTAGTAACAGATGAGCACAATGTTTTCGAGGCTGATTAGTTCGTTATTAATGTCGAATAAATAAATATTCGGTGCACAAGGTAAATATTTTCTGGTAGAAGTAGAATTTTATTGAGTTATCGTCGAAGTATGCAAGAGAGTGGACTCGTCTTATCTCAGTACGAAGAAATTAATTCGTTGCTGTACAAACCGATAATTGCCACCCAGAGAATCAAAGTGAGTTGACAATCCAGTGGAATGCAGAATAATTTTCATTGTTTATGACATTTTATTTTATTTAGTACACGTGCATCAATGTCTCGACGAGTCATATTGTCCTTGGGTCCACGAGTGGTAGTCTGTTCTTATTCACCAGAGAGCCATGTACTTTTCAACAAGTGATACCACTATCGGTAAATTATCAATTTTCGAAGTCCAAGGCTGAGTTTAAATTGTTAGAATTAACAGAATGAGTAATAAAATGAAATTTTTCAAATGCAAGATTTTCGGAATTTTTTCAAGTCAAGGGAAATTCGAATTTTCATAACTCAAAGCCAAAAATATTCAATTAAATTCCGAATTCTGTGGATCTGGAATTCTCACCCCTGAATATGCCTCATCCACAGGAAGGCCCAGTGACCCACGTGCAGATATCCCCAGACGAGAAAACAGTCGCCTTGTCCACAAAACGAGGGAGTGTTTGCATTGTGAGTCTAAAGCCTTCAGCAAAACTCATTTCAATTTCAAATGAACACCTCCGAGAGACAGTAACATCCCTCTGCTGGAATTCAAAAAGCTCAGAGATCTACGTGGGGGACAATAAAGGGAAGATCTCGACGATTGTCCTCTCGATATTTACAGTGAATGGTATGTTCCAAGCCCCTTCATGTGCCCTCATGCACCTGGACTCGAGCATTGTCCAATTGGATTACAATCTGCACTACCTCCTCGTCTCGACCCTCACACGGTGCTACGTATGTGACACATCCCAGGAGCAATTCAAGCAGATTGGAAATAAAGCGAGGGACGGAGTCTTCGGTGCTTGTTTCATGAAAAAATCCCCAATAGAACTCGAGAAAAATTCATCAACAGATGAGGACAAAAATGTGCGCAAAGTCAGTCTGAATTCTATAATAGGTCCAACTGATGAAGAAAGTGTTTTGATCTATTCAGCAAGACCAGGGCTCAGACTCTGGGAGGTAAATCTGAATGGAACAGTCCTGAAGACTCATCAATTTAAAGACGCCCTGGCAGTTCCTCCCTCCGAAATTTTCAAATCATCTCTCATTAAATCAATTTCCACTGATGTAGACAATGAGCAACATGACCACATCCCTCAAATCATCAATTTCTCTCATTTATTCGTTGTAAGCAGAAGGTACTTGCTCTCTCACACAAATAATTCCCTCTGCATAATCGACCCCACGAATGCAGCAGTTGTACTGTGGACTGATAAATTAGATACAATAGCTATGGCACAAGTTGTTGATGATAAAATTTACTTAATGAATACTAATGGCACTTTCCAGTGTTTAATGCTCTCTTCCATCGATTACCTCATCATCAAACTTTTTGAAACAAAACTTTACCATGATTGTTACAACGCCTGCATGACATTCAGAAGTGATTTACTGAAATTAATCGAGAGTAATAATTCAGTGATGCTGGAGGATTTTAATGATTGCAGCAATGAATTGGTGACTGTACTTCAGCCAATAATATCAGTGATACAGTCGAATTATAATACTCAACCAAAGAGATTGAATAGTGGAATTGTTGTTGTTAATTCTGGTCATTCTATTGCTTCGAGAAATAATGGAAGATACGAGAAGGATCAGGATTCATCTTCAGACTCTGAGATTGTGTGTAGGAGTGTAATAAAGCCTATGAGAAAATTAGAGAATAAAAACACTGACGAGATGAATATTAAAGGAGATCTCACAGAGCTTGGTGAGGGCTTTGCTGAACTGAAAATGAGCAAAAATGGTGAAGATTCAATGGAAATAAACGGAGGTGAAGAAGGATCGTCTATTCCTCGGAGGAAGGAGATAGAGTCAGCAACAGCGGGCATTCAATCAGATATTCAACCACTTTATACACTAATAAGTACCTTAAAGTCTTCGATGACTCTAGAGGACCTAGAAGATACGATTTTTAGAATTGTTAAGAGTATACAAGAGATTAATTTCAAATACGAGGACATAGTCGAGTTGAAGATATTTCTTTATGAGGTTGTGAGATCCATTGAGAGGCTCTACTTCCATGCACTCCTGGAGAACATTTCTCCGGAGGTGTTGATGCGACGGGAAGGGTCTGATAACAGTTATGTAGTGGAGGAAGTTCTCAGGGCATTTGTAGATTTGAATGGCTCTGATTACAGCGAGTGCACCTGCGGATTTCCCATGTTTAGGGGATCCTCGGAGTCAAAATTTGGGGACATTGGTCAGCTCTTGGTGAAAAGATTCAGCGAGGAGAGTGAAGATAATTGTGTAAAACTGTGCAAGAGTGTACCTTATCTATGGAGGAATTATCTCAGGATTTGCATTGATAGGGGAGAGCGAATAGATCATCTTCTTCGTTTGTGCCTTCAGACTAGAGACAATACTGTACTTTCGATTATTCTTCCATTAGTTGAGGATAATTCCTGGGATATTGTCGCTGATTGCGACGACAGGATGAGGACTGGGAGGTGTATTTCATGTGGAAGGGATGAAGGAAACCATGAGGAGAGGATTGACTGGAGTGGAGTAGCTCATGAGATACTCAAGAGGGAGGGAATTCATGCCACCATGAAATTCCTCACTGATGCTGAGAAGAAGCTGCCTAGAATTAAATTAAAAGAAAGGTAATTTTTTTTTCTTTTAAAGAGTTCCTCTCTCGTCATTCTTCATTCAATGTTGCAAAAGTATTTATTGCATTGTTTCAATTATCTTTGGAATGGTTTCAGTATTTTTCAGTCACTTATATGTACGAAACTATTGAGTCGTCATGGATTTGAGCAGGTGGTTGAGTTCAACAGGAGTGGAGAGGGTGGCAAGGAGTACAGCTCAATTTGTTCGAAAGAGGTAATTTTAAATCTTAGAATGAACTTCTCTTAATCTTCAGTAACTCCTGTCAGGTATGATCTCAATATTTTTGATTATTTTAAAATTATTTTGGAGAGCTGGAGTTATTTAATATTGAAAAAAGTTCATTCTGCTCGACTTGATTTGTATAGAGACATGTGGATAATGATTGAAATTTATCTCTTTGATAATTTTTATAGGCTAGAGAAAATCTCGCAGATGCCTTAGAGAAAGATCTCGATAGGCCAGTAAATAATCGTGTATTCGGCAGTGGAGCACACCATTGGGGCATGATATACAAAACAAAATCATCAGTGTGTCCCTGCTGTACTCTCTCACTACAAACTCCAGTTTTACTAGGAAACAATGGTATATCGATATTTCCATGTGGCCATGCCTATCACGTCAACTGTCTCATACAAAAAAAAATAACAAAATGTTACCTTCACTCATTAGAGTAATAGAGAAAAATATATTGTAAAATTATCAGAGTCATTAATACTGTTTATCTCTCACTGCATTATTCGAATTAAAATACAGCTCAAATTATTGAACCAAAATCACAGATATATATTAATGAAAGTTTAAATAAGTTAATTATAACTGACTCGTTTATTACTAATAACTGACAGTACAACAATCTGTCGATTTTGAATAGATGTGAGGAACAGGTGTTGAGATTTAATGAAAATTTCTAGTACAATATTGTCTGTGCCAAATTACCTCTCAGTCGAGAATCATTGGTAATTGAATCAATAAATAATTTAACATCAATTGTAAATGACTTTAAAACGATATTAATCGATAGTTGATCGAGTATGGCCTAAATATAACTGAGTAGGTGATTAGAATCACTCGAATGTACCTATTGACTATTTTTTTTTCATTCAGCACAATTTTTATCTTTTATAAATAATAATTTTGAGCTAAATCCCATGATTTCGTCACTGCAAAGGTGACAAAAATAATTATTTTTTTCGAGCAATTTACAATATCGAGTCGTTTATCCTTTGGATTTCCATTTTTAGTATTGAGTTTATAAAAAAATAATTTTATCGTTCTAGTCTTTAGTGCTTAGTTGAAGGACTGTATATTCAACAAAAATTGTTCCTCTTTAATCGATCAATTCGTATTTTTTTGTAAAGAAAATATTGTGATTGAAAGTCGTTCCAGAGGAAATTTATATATATCTCTAAAAATACATAAACTTGAAGAGAAAAAAAGAAAAAAAAAACAGTAAAATAACACAGAAGTTGCGCAATGGTTTTCCCTTCACTCTACTTTTTCACACTTACCTTAAACCCATTATTATTAAAAAGATTTATCACAGCTTAAGTGGCATCAATTTCACTCAGATAATAATCAGTCTTAATGTTCCATCGAAATACCTACCAAAATATTTGATGCTCATCGTTAAATCGATACAATTATGTTACATCTTTGATTATATCTCACAATCTAATTCGATCTTAGGGGATGAGAATGAATTGACAGGTGGAAATTGTGAATGACTTAAGCGAATAGAAAACAGAAATAAAAAAGACAGTGGAAATAAATGAATAATAATGAAAGCCTAGGGTTTTGATTTAATTACCACAAAATAATAAGCGGAATTACTGCTTCGTTACTTTCTATTTTCTTTTCGAATTCAATATTTTTTCACTAGTTTCTATTCGCAGCAATTGCAGTTGCACTTTTGCTTCATTTTCTCCTCTCAATTATTCAACTTTTCCGCCACTTTATGATTGGAAAAGCATGGGCTGCTTTTTCTACGAAATTTTGATATTTATAAAGGCTTGTACCTGTTTTTCGTAATTTTTTTTATCAAAAATTTAGTCCTGACTGGCAGGCGAAATTCGATTTTAGCGGTGACAAACGCTTTCTTAAAATCTACGACTCGTTTTCTTTCGGACTTAATTATTAAGTACAGTATCTATTTCAGTATAACACGGTAAAACTTACCCTGCAGGGCCGGAACGATTTATTTCCGATTTTTTATTCCATTTTCGAAACGTGGAATGTTTTTTTTTTTTTTTTGTATTAATATTGCCAAAATATATTATATTCAAATGAAAAAGCTCTCGAGCTCAATCCATGGAAAATTGAAAGACTTGATCGATCGAGTATCAAAAATAAACTGTTTTTAAGTGTTTTCAATCAATTACTCAATTAATTGATTAATTATCAATCAATTTTCAGTACAGATGTGAAAGATGTCGATAAATTAAGAAAAAAATTAAGATTGTTCTATACTGATTTGTTGAGCAAACGTGGAGTTTAGAGGACTCCATTATTTTTTCATTGAAAATAGAAAAATCACATAAATAGTATCACAGTCACAAGATTGCGGACTCTAGTCAATGGAATTTGACTAAACTCTGGATGTACGCATTTTAAATTTGTTTCCAGTAATGAAGATAAGAATCTTCAACAAAATTTGAGCGTACTGGAGAATGGCCTTGACATTGATCAAAAGCCAAACTTTTGTGAATAATTTTTCATAGAAATACCTGCAGTTCAATAATTAATTATTGCTGATAGTATCGATAGAAATTTTAAAATGGTCAAAAAATAATTTTCCACAGAAAAAATAATTAACAATCAAACCACAAGTAATTATGAAAAATATCATTCGATCTCTTATCTCTAGGTCTCAATCATCTCATTAGCTGTAATTATAAAAAATGTGCATGCAACCTTGACAAAAATTGACAGTTCTAAAATTATAACATAAAAAGACAGGAAGAGTATATTGGTTGGAGCAACTACAGGGTAAACTATGAATTGTTTTTCAACCAAAAAAAAATCTAAAAAAAATGACTTTGTGAGAATTGAAGATCTACTGATCAACATAATTAAATAAATTATTCCTTCCAGATCCATTTCTCACAAAGTTGATAAAATCTACGATCATATAAGAGCGCCACATAATTTTTCAATCTGACAATAAATAACATTTCATGACAATCAAGGAAAATATCGATTTGTCGTTAAAATAAAAATTATAAATTCGCATGTTTGGTTAATCGAAAAAATATGAAAAAGGCACTTTGTGAATCTACTCGACTGTTTCTGGTTTGTCCTCGATAGTAAAAAAATGAGAAAGAAGAATATTTACATTAGCATTTTACATAAAATGTTTACATTGTGTTTTTTTTTTACTCATTCAATAATTGAATAGAGATTTCATACTGCAAAAATTGTAAAATATAAGCCAAATTATTCGATGAATACAGACAAACCACAAGTTATTTATTATAAAGTGGCAAAAGAAAAAAATAAATTAACATCTTTGTTGTGTCATTTTTGCTATTTCTCAAATATTTTCTTTTAGTTTAGTTTTTTTTTCGAGGATTTTGTGTCACAGATGAATAAAGTAAAGACATGGTCAGTAATATATATTTTTCGAAACCGAATATTTTTTTTCTTTTTTTGCATTATATTAAGAATACAATCTTGCATTGTCGCATGAGCCCTGAAGACCGATGATAAATTTGCATTAAGAGCGCTCTTCATTCCTCTTGACAGTGTCCTGTAGATGATTAAAATCTTCGTTGAGCAGCATATCAGCTTCTTGATGATTCAAACTTGTAATTATATTTATCATTATTTAATTCTACTGTAACACTGCTCATCTCACATTAAATCTAAATATTTTTGTTTTCAAACATACTCTTAATTACAGTGCTGTTACATATACGTTATGTATACATGTAGGATATTAATTATTAATATAATGTGGCAAAAATGTTAAGAGGACAGAAAGAGAAAAAAATATTCATTATATAATTCATTATGACGAGAAAATAAAGCACTGAATTGTTCCATTAATTCACACATTTTTTTGTCTGCTACTTCAACTGCGCAGTTATCCTCAACTGTTTCTGTTTTCAAATTGATAAAAATCAATAGTTGACGGAGAAAATTAATTATTCGCTGTCAGAATTCAATTCATTTCCTTTTTTTCGTTTAAATCTTTGGATGCCACAGAAAAATTCATATCGGTCACAACGATAAGCACTAAAAGTTTGGAGTGATTTACTGTTATTATTACTTTTTTTTAATTATTAACGAAATTATGGTTTTATTGTTGCTTTCGTTCTGCCTGTTCCACTTGCTGCAGATGTCACGTCATTATTACTGTATGCTCCACATTGTGATGATTCTGGAAGGTGGACTCAGTGTCTAGAACGATGCGAAGAGTCTCCACGCTCATCACGTCGATCACGCTCACGTTCACGTTCTCTCTCACCAGCTCCTCCTCCTCCTCCACCACCTCCACCGCCGCCACCACCCCCACGTTCAGGCTCCCTTTCGCGTTCAGCTGGTCGCCTGCTTGTTTCACGCTCACGCTCCCTTTCCCGGTCACGCTCTCTGTAGCGATCGTCATAATACCTAGACAGTACACGGGCTTTTTTATCGTATTTTCTTGGGGAAGAACATATTTTTTTTTCTGACTCCCTCTGCTAATGGATTTTTTACCAATTTCACTGGCAGTTCAATCATTTATCTAAACTAAGAAGATAATTTTTCATTATAATATCAGTGATTTTATGGAATGACATTATGTATTGAGAATAATTTGTGTCCATCAAAGCTGGAAATCGTAGAGAAATAATGAAAATTATCTTCTTATTTCATCGATTACAAATTTTTTACACAATTTATTACAAAATTTCGTCCACACGTAAACACACAGGATGCAGTGAATCGATACTATGGCTAATAGGTACAAGAGATTGCAAAAATGAAGAAAAAAAATGGTAAATGTACAGATTAAGTAACACTCATTCAGTTCTTTTTCCTCAACAGAGCTAGTTGGATAGTAAACATAATTTCATCGCATTCAATAGATGTGTTTTTTTTGGTTTTTATGTAAAAAAATAGATTTACCTAGACGGCTTGGAAGATGATACTGGTGCCGCCTCGGGCGGTTCCTCTTTAACTCTCGGTCTGGCTGCCTGACGTGTTGTACTAATGGAAAATACCACGTTATGATTTTTACAATTTTTTCGCTATTGTTCCACTTATTTCCTTAATTTATACTCAATATTATTCGATTAATCATGTACACTATTCTACCTGTACTCGATCCTTATTTCAATGAAAAACTTTCAAATGAATAATTTTACAGTGTGAATTGAAGAACCAATGAAGAAATAAAGATCGTTTCATTATATTCATTATCATAATTAAATTCCTCCTCTAGGTTTTGCATCTTTGCATTGGTAAACCAGATTTATAAAACATATTTATTCCATTTGTTTCCTACATAATGACATAAATGACGAGAATTTGTCAAACGGGCACAGCAGAAAAAATAATAGTTAATATTTCAAATCTCCAAAAAACTTGATTTGATAATAGGGTAATGGATAATAGATATCGAAATAAAAATTCTCGACATTCTGTGCCTCGCTTTTTTAAGCTATTATCACATATCTGTTTGACTATACTGTGAGCATCTGCACTTTACAAATATTTCGCACAATGCAGTTGCTCCATCGTCGATTCACAATAGTAATAATCTACGATTCATGACTATCAGGCGAGAGCAAAATGAAAATGATAGAAACTCAACGTCAAGTGCTTCTTCATTTTGAATTTTCATTTTGCCTCAATTTCTCCTACACTATTTTATTTCTCCCAAAGAGATCGATCGTAACGATAAAATATACATAATATTTACAACGAGACCGAATACGCGCTCCGCCCCCGTCATTTGATTCCGTTGTGTTGATGATGACTTAGCCAATTGATCAATGAGAAATAAGTTTTATTCGGAATGGCCAATGAGAAACACTCGACTATTTACTTTTGTATCACCTTTTATAGGTAGGCGTCGACTTTCCACTGAAAAGTTCGAGCTTGGGATTATCTAAATTCCGAGAAATGTTCACTGAGCTCGAAAATTTCTAGGCATTATTTTTGTCTTCCATTTTAATTTACTGAGTGGTATGTTGATTTAATATTTTATCTCAATTTTTCCGTTTTTTTTTCAGTTCTTTCCTCACATTCAAATGGATTTGAGTGAAATATTTTTTCAGACCGAGATTGCTCAACTTGTGTGATTTTTTAAGGCTTACCTCTCTTCCCTGCTGCGTTCCCTGTACTCCCTATCCCGCTCACGCTCACGATCTCTATCACGACTGCGTGATCTCTCCCTGGGGTAGGGCTCGCTGTAGTAACGCTCACGCTCACGATCTCGATCGCGATCCCTCTCTCGATCGCGATCTCTGTCCCTCTCACGATCACGATCTCTACTCCTCTCCCTGTACTCCCTGTCACGGCTACGAGAACGTTCACGACGACGACGATGACTGCGCTCACGGTCGCGAGATCTTGAACGTTCTGTAATTAAAAATATCAACAGAAATTAGTAAAAATTTATATTCAATTCCATATTATGGCACTGAAGAGATTGAAAGTCACCTCTTCTAGCGGAGCCATAACTCTTAGTTTCCACGCCCCTGAGAGTGTCCTGCAGAGAACTGATGAGAATTTTGCAGCGATCATCACTAGCCACTTTGGACTGTTTAATAAGAGATATCGCAGTGACGAGCGTTTCAATGGCACTTGCATATTCCCCAGCTGCGGCGTCTGAGACTGCACGAGCTATTGCCGATGATGACACTGTTCTGTTTCGATCCATGATCACCTCGAACTCCTGTTCGCGGAGCTGGGGAGGATCCTCAGGGCGGTGATCGGGCCCGGGAGTATTATAAGGCGGCTAAAATATTTCCATCGTCATTTCAATTTATTCTGTTTATTTAATATTAAAAAAATAAGGAGAATGTCTCATTTACCTGGGCAGAGGGTGGACCGTAACCATGTGGAGGTGGATGTGGTGGTCCATGCGGAGGTCCATGAGGTGGCCCATGGGGTGGACCATGGACTGGTCCATGATGTGGTGGCGGTGGTCCACCGGGGTGCTGGCCTGGATGCTGATGGGGTGGACCTTGTGAGAAAAATGCGGGATTTACGTGAGGTGCCGGACCACCTGGGGGTCCTGGTGCAGGGCCTTGCTGAGGGCCTCCGTGACCTGGTGGTGGACCCCCTTGCAACATACCGCCCATTCCTCCTGGTGGAGGTCCTCTCTGGGGTGGACCCTGGCCTGGCTGGGGGCCTTGCATATGCTGATGCTGGTTAAAACCTGGGGGTCCTTGATGAGGATGCATACCTGAATTTTTTATGTTACCACAAATACATTCATTGATCTTTCGTTCATTGTTTTAGCCCTGAGAAGGTTCATTGCTCCGAACAGATCGATATAATAATGAAATAAATAATTCTCGATTTTAGTATTTACGCAATTCAGATTTTTTTTTCTATTATCTTCACGTTGGAAATAGATGAGAATTTTCTTTACGTTGAGTTTATTGTTTTGAATGACAAAAAGGATAATTGAAAATTTGTTGTTACCTGGTGGTATATTCCATTCAGGACGAGGTGGAGCTCCACGTGGATCGCCAGGAGGTCCTGGATGAGGAGGGCCACGCGGTGGGCCTTGATTAGGAGGTCCAGGTGGTCCACGGAATTGCTGAAGAGAAAAAACATAAAATCAATATTTTAAATTCTTCCATTATTACAGGAGATACATTTTCATAGCGAAAAAATAAAACACACCATTCCAGGCGGTCTGTGCTGTCCCGGTCCAGGTCCAGGAGGTCCCTGCTGAGGGGGTCCTCCATTGGGTCCCCTAGGAGGTCCAGGAGGCCCATTCGGCCTGGGCCCATTCCAGTGGCTCTGCTGGTATCCAGGAGGTGGTGGTCCCTGATTGGGATGACCAGACATGTGATGAGGCACAGGTCCACCAGGGCCCATGGGTGGTCCATGCATTCTTGGGGGTCCCTGTTGTCCTGCATTGCCAGGCCCAGGTGGTCCCATCCCAGGCGGTGGCATCCTCTGGGGTCTGGGCCCCTGGGGTGGTCCCATCATCATTCTGGGTCCATGATTCTGCTGGGGATGCTGACTGTGCTGAGGATGCTGTGGATGCTGCTGATGTGGAGGCATCGATGACTGATGCTGATGGGGATTGTGGGGCTTTTGACTCTGATTCTGCTGGGGTGCAGGTGCTGGTCTTGTCTTGCACTGGGATTCAAATTGATTGAGCGCCTGTTTAGTTGGAAATGTCACCACTGGATTTTGTCCGTGCAATTCCTTCTTGGGAAGTCTCTCCATGCACAATCTCATACTCCCTTCAGATCCCAAGGAGACCACGCAGAAGCCCTTGGACTGACCGTTGGCACGATTCTCAAAAAACTTCACCTCAACGAAATCCGAAACACCAATGCTCAGAACAGCCTCTGTTATGTCCTGATCACTTGTCCACCACGTCAGGTTACCAACGTACAACTGGTGTCTTCTGCCAATTTGGTTGGGCTGGATATTATTTCCCACTTGGTGGTATGGTGCATTACCGTTCGTCTCCTCGTTTGCTGTATTCGGTGTATCTGAATCACCACCTCCACCACTGCTGTTTGTCGCAACTCCACCGTTGCCACCTGATGGGGCAGCTATCACGTCGTCGTAGAGGTCAACTCCATCGCCAGCGAATTCATCCTGGAATTTCTGCATTTTATTATTGTCGCAGCTTTCGTTAATGGGACACCGTTATTAATCATTATTTCCATATGGTTCTCGATATGGAATCGTTGAGATAATGAACGAAAAACAATTATCAGAATTTTTTTTTACGAGAAATCCGGTGAAATTGGACACAGGTCATTGAAAATGTGGTAAAACCGTTTTTTACCGATATATTCATTTTCCGTAGAAAAAAAGAGAGAACCCCCCTAATCCATTCAATAAGTTTATAGCATCCACAGAATTGATAAATTGTATAGAATATTTAAATGATGAAGTGACTTCTCACGTCTTAATCAGTCTTACAAAAACCCCCCATTTCCAATCTTCAATGGAATAATAATCATCAACCAAGAGCTTTCCAGCCAGCCCCAAGCTTCGATTTCCCAAAAAAAAAATTCCATCGACGTAAAATCAATGAGCAATCATAAAACATTAACCAATAATTTCAATGCATTATCCAGCCCCAGAACCAATAAAAAACGCTCGAGTCCCGCAATAATAACGAACTAGTCCTAACAATGACGAAAACCTCGTGAATCTAATGGACGAACATAAACTTCAGTGGCAAGCTCCATATTTTTTTTCTGTCTCACTCACTCCACACGAAATTCGCCAATAATGTGGTCATGCTCCAATCCCATTTCCTGAATGGAAAATCCCCTCCCCAGTTTCACATTGTTCAATTGTCAATGCAACATTGTTAGTACGATCAAAGCACCCGAACAATTGTTAAAATTATTGTAATTTCGAGTGATTGTAAAAAAAGGAGATAAAAAAAAAATCAGGCGGTACACAGCCGCTTTGGAGGGCCGATCGTTATCGTGACTCCACCATGACGCCGAACACTCGAATCAACAATCCCGTGTTTCTATGATCACACAATTATCGATATTATTGGTAAAATGTGGAATTTGTAGTCGTTAATTTATTGAGATCAGTAGTGTATTATTTGTTGTTGATATTACCTGAGCAAAGTCCTGTTCAAGATCATCGGCGTACAGATCAATGTCACCGTCCGCCATTTTACGGACACCGACGCTCACTGGCTAGATGATGAGAATTTCCAAGCCGCATGTCTGCCCAAAGAAGATTGACTAAAGTAGAGGGTCAGTTCTGGGGGTTTGAGTGACCCCACAGGCATTGTAGTACCTCACCCCAAGAGAGAGGGCGCCACACGCAATAGGGGTGTCTGCCCGTCAACCGACTCGGTAACTATAGTGAATATTGTCAGAGGAGTAACCTCGGCCGTAACCCCCACTCTCCGAAATCCCCACTTGTGGCCGTGTTCCCCACCAGTCG